CCATTTATTTATATAATCCTCTGCCTCTTCTTTTTATCCACACAATAATCCTTGAGGCAGATGAGGGTGTGAGTGGCAGGAAGCCATGCAGTAAGGTTCGTGGTTGAGTGGGCACTAGAGCCCAAATCTCCCAGGGCCAAGTCCAGTACTCCTTACCTACTAAGCCACAGTAGCACTACTGCAGATATCATGGTGGTATCATTACATATGAAGTCTTTTTCCCAGTGAGGCATTCCATGTTTTAATCTATGTTCTGCATCCAATAAATCATGTCAGTGGCATGCATTTTTGGAGGTGTTCGCCAGGCATTTTACCATTTATAAAATGCTGTAATAGAATGTCATGTTATGGAAAGCATCTTTGATGGGCAGTCAAATGCATATGATCCAGCATTTCTGAAAGCTAGCTTTAAAGTGTTCAGCTTAGGAAAGGGTTAACTCAGTTTTCCATCAAGTCAAGCACGATTGGTGCCTGTAGGAGTCATATTGACACCCCCCCCCCCCCGGTGCAGGGAAACTCTACTCCTTTATTGACATGTTGCCGTGAAAAACACGATAGCACTCTGTCTGCAAATCGTTGCTAAAATCATCTTTAAAAAAAAAAGAAAGTTTGAAAGCCTTAAGTCTTAGACAAAGGCACAAGAGCTGCAGTGCGCAGTTCAAAACTCCCGAGTCAGCAACTTCTATTGATTAAAAACTAACCTTTAAAGTAACTCTCAGAGTGTGTGGTTAGCATTTAAATTTAAACATGTCATGAGTTGATTTGTGTTACTGAATACCAACTCTGAAGGAGTTACATTCACATCAGATTTTTTTTCGTAATTCCCTTAAGCAGCTAAAGTATTTCATGAAATGTCAGTAGGGCAGGAGAGTGGGAGAAAGGTGTTTGTGGGGAGAGGGTGCGACTGGCGTGAGTCTTGTAAGTTTTCTTTCCCATGCAAATATCAACTCCCCTACCCTCAAGTAAAAAAGAAAAGTGTGGGGAGTGCAACACAATAATTAGCCCTTTGTCTAACTTTCCCAAGTGCCAGAGAGAAGCTGATTAATTAAATATACAACAGCATTGGGTTTTGGAGTGGGGGTCTTGCTTGCTGGGTAGGCCATAAATTAGGCTGAATAAATACTTCAATGTGTTTGCAGTGGCCTGCTACGTCAGAGCCACTGGAAGGTTGGTGGGAGGAGAGCAGAGTGTTTCTTGCTAATGATAGTCACGTCTGGGTCTGTCTGGTTGCTCGTAGCAACCAGACATGATGTAACACCAGGATGAACTTGAACTTGGGGGACTTGAAAAGGGAACAATAGACCAGAGCAATCAATAAAGCCTATTTCAGTGAAGGATTACAGAGCTGCTCTGGGGTAACCTTGTCTGCACAGCACACATTGAATAGTAAGATGGGTTGAAGAAATCCCCCCCCTTTTTTTGAGAGGAGTGCAGAAGCACTGCAGATCCTGCAGATCTTATTTTTTAAAACCTATGCAGTGAGTAGCACAGGAAAAAAGTGGCATGGAGAAGTGCACCCCCTGCTGCCCGAAATGTGTACTGAGAATTATGAAACGAAATACTGAAGACCAGCCGCATTCCAAAAGCATGCAAATAGTCTCACACTTTTGCTGCAGCTTCCTAAGTGACACAGGCTACCTTTGTGTCCAAGCAGCCTGAATCAAAATGCTGCATTACATCTGAGGCAACTGCTAAAAACAAAAGCATTGTAAAATTTTTAAGGCTTCTAAAATAATATTAGGGCAGGATCCTATTAAATAAAAAGGCCTACAACACCCAGCATGCTCCAGCAAGCAGTGCTCCCAGAGGCATGCTGGAAATTGTAGGCCTTTTTTTCCAGTCTCAACTTGCATAGGATTTTGCATAATTGTGTTGGATTGACAATATTTACCAACGTGTTGACAGGTAGTGATTATATAGCATATTACAACAGGAAGATGAAGATTTTCTCCAAGTTAAAACCTTTGGCCTCTGCTAGTTGCTCACTGGATCTTGATTTTAAACATTGATACCAGTATGAAATAGTGTGCTGCAGTGCCAGAGCTGTGTTTTCCACTGACAGGAAAACACAGCATCAGGAAAACACCCACCATCCAAGCACTTATACATGGGTGCAACATGCTTCAGGCTGCCCTCTACAAGCACTGACTTGAGAGTAAATTAACCTGGCATGAGTCTAACTTAAGCTAGCAGAGGTATTTAGGCTTGTAGGGTTAGCATATGTCCATTCAGAATGATGCAATATGCAACTGATGGAAACAGCAATACAGCAAATGCAGTATATCTTGCTTTACATAATGGTACCTTTTTATGAGACTCAGTCCTTACTAATCCAATCAGTAGTACCTGTGCTAAAATAATGATTTCATGCTCTCTAACATCCAGGTGAACCTTTTCACAAAGGTGACATAATAAAAGCTATTTCATTGTGACCAGCCTAAATCTGAATTAGACAATCCACAGACAAAAGTCTGCAGAAGTGCATACACACAGACAGACACACATCATGTTTATAAAAGACCAAAGAACTAGCCAGTGGGTAGAAAAAGGAAACAAGGCATCTGAATTGACTCTGTTTCTCCTGCCAACTTATTTTTGAATAAAGCAATATTTATTGAGCTAAAATCCATGTCATACTGCCAAAGGGAAAATCATGTAATCTTCAAACAAGCAAGAGCTTTGTTTTTCTTCATAATAGGCAATTTAAATATTAATCATATCTAGTGTTTGGTGTAAGCACATTTTGTCTGGAAATAATGGGGACAGTAAAAGCCCCACTTTTCATCACTGTTACCTACTGGGAACTATTACCTGTTTTGAAGAGTATAAGCCACTTTGTCCTAAAATGCAAGAGTGTAAGCGTAGCATATTTTGCCACTGTTGGTGTGCCACTGTCCAAAGTAAAACAAAGAAGACAGCAATTATTGGTGAGCATTATTGAAGTGGGATAGCACAAGACTTTTTTTGTGTAGAGGTTGTTACATTGAGTTGCATGCACAGTCTAGCCCACCTCACACAATCACAGTAAGGACTGAATGCAAAGACTTTCATGAGGCTCAGCCTGAAGTCTGGAGGGTGAGAGCAACAGAAAGGGCCTTGTTGACAGTGTCCCTCATTTGTGGAAAGTTTTCCCAAAAGGAGCTCAAATGTTGCCCTCTAGAATGTCTTCACAGCTCCAAGCTAAGCCATTTTTATTCTTATATGATATTTCAAGACCATATTAACAACCCTGTATTAGCAGTCCCCGTTGATGCCAGTTATTGGTTTTCATGTGTTTTATCATTAGTGAATGGGGTTGAGCTCTTTTATGGGATTAACAGATTTTTAAATTTTATTTTATGCTTATATTTGTTTCAGCTCTTATATGTGGTGTTTGGATTTCATTGGTATATTCTTATTGTTTTAATGTAATTTTTTAGTGTTTGATCTTGTATGTCACTTAGGCAATTGTAGTCATAAAACTACTAATAAGTATAGCACATACAACACAAAACAATACAAATGTGCATTTATATAGAAGAATTTTGACAGCCTTTACACAGGGGTGATGTTTGAATCGAGATCCTGAAGATGGTGCCTGAACAACGTAAACATATGCAAATATTTTCATGTGCAATTAAGCACATCACGCTATTCAGCAGTATTTGTGCACTGGAAAAGAGCAAGGTATTATTTTAAAGTAGCAAGTGTTCAGAAATAGCGGCTAGACTTACTTTTGTTGAATATTGTTTCTGCTCTCACATTCATGCATTCGGTGGCCTTTCAGTATCACTTTCTGAAAAAAATCAGCAGGATTTATTCTGAAACAGTTGAGACTGAAACTTATTCTGTACCTGTTAAGAATAAAGCAATCAACTCTTTTCCAGAGGAGCACCTCAGTCTGCCATGATAGATGCCTGTGTTCATCACATTACATTTAATGTTGACTGATTTTATTTCCTCGTTTAATTACTGAACCAACCTGAGGGCTGATCTGCAATATTTCAGGCAGTAGGGTGGTCCTGGACACTGAGCTATCATGAAAGGAAAACCACCGTGCCAGGAGCCCTGCCTTGCCCGGCGCCTTTGCATTCTGCGGGGGCAGGCGAGTCCTGCCAGCCCTGCAACACATTCTTCCACTGCATGGGCAGTGGGGAGAAGGATATGTGGTCTACCTTAGTGATATGGACACCTTCTTGTGATGGGGGACAGGGGCTGTATTTTACAAGATTTGCCATTTTACAACCTGTATTTTACAACCAATTTGCCATTTTAGCAAACTAGGCTTTTTATAATTTTAGGAGCGTTCATATCACTCTTTAAACTTCTCCTATGCATTTTGGTAGAAAAAGCACCCAAACAAACAGGGTAGACAAAAGCATTTGTGCAGCCTTTCTCACATCTTGGTAAAGCCCTCTGGAGTATCCCACAGTGTTTGGACACTTATGAATGGAATCCAGGGGTGCAGTTTAATTGTGGGAAATGTTATAGGTAAACTTTGCTAAGCAGCAGCCTTCTAATTACTAAAGCTAGGGTGGTCATAATGGATTTAGTTCGTGTATAACATGTTATAACCTTTGTAGGCTTTGCCAACTTTTGTGACGCTACAAATTTTTTTCCCATGGATGGCAAAGAGCTGCAAGACACAGCTTCTTGTGCTTCTGCTTTACTGCCTCTCCTGAACAGCTTACACCTCTTTTTTAAAGCAAGGTGGGGGGGGGGATCTTGTTTATTTAAGTGACAATTCCATCTGAATGGCTGCTTGTACTTACACAAATTCACACCCATTAAGTCTGTGCAAAAATTTGTATATTTCCTGCATGCAGCTAAAAGCAGGAGGTGGGAAGGCACAGTGCGATCTGATTCTGTTGATCTAGCACATTGGCACAAATGTAGAAATGATTCATGGCCTATTCATAGATTTCCTTGTACATAGGTTCCAAATATGTATAAAGACTTCTGCTATGCTTGCCACAGATACTGAAAGTTCTTTCCTTTCTCTTTTTATTTCCTTCTTGCAGTCCTGGTACCTGGGATAAAACTCACAGCTTCCTACCATCCACCAGACAGACCACCTGACCCCTTCCCAACTCTGTAACGTGGAAGCAGCAGCAACACAGTGCAGTTACTTCGCCTATGTGGAAGGGGAGAGGAACAGATACTGACAGCAAACAACTCCTCATATTCAGAAATGGCAAACGTTATGGTTTATTGACAAAGACCATAACATTGTAGACAGGGAGGGGGATTTTTGTTTTTAAAAAAGAACACCTTAGTGACCGATGTAATTTCTCATATGGTGCTGGAAAAGTTTGGTCTTCATTCTTTTTGAAGTGTTTCAGTTGGTAGTGTAAGCATTAGGGACGCTGGGTTGCAGAGCTAGCCTGCCGGCTACTTACTGACTTGCTGTTATAACCCTTTCCATACAGCGCCTAACTGTTTTACAGTAATTTCACTGATTTGTTTTCCATTAAAGTGTGAGACCTCTTGAGAGATCATTCACACACACACACATGATAACTTTTGTAGTAGCTGAATTCTGCAATATAGAACTTACAGGACAGACATAGGGCATGTTTTTCTGTAACATATCAGGTTTTTTTTTAATTTTACAGTCAGCAGTTATATATGTCACATGAATCATAAGAGCATTATCAACAGGTTGATTTTCACTCAAGTTGCAGAGAAATTTAAAACATCAACCTACTGCTGTTTGCGCAAAAAGAAAAAAAGGTTTAAATGCTGCACTTACATAAAACACTTTTGATGATTTTCAACAATGACATAAAATTCACATGGAAATGGGGAAGTTGGTCTGTTTTGATAGAAACTGACAGGAATCAATCAAAACAATCAAATTTTGAATTGAAAAAAGTGCAATTTCATTGGATAGCTAAATATCTTTGTAAGATAGAGATTGTTGAAAATTCTATTTTTGTTTTCCAAGTCCTACCACCCCAGGACTCTAAACTATTGGGGTAAAAACAGCCTTGCAAGAAAAAAGGGGGAGCTATTTTTGCTTTTTATGTTTTTTATTGTTAAACTTGTATCCCTTTAAAACTGAAGGAAACTTAAAAAAAAACACTAAATTTAATGGTGCTTTTACCACAATATGTTATCTACATTAAATGCTAAGTAATCATTTTCTGTTATCAAAGCACATAATTAAAATTAAATCATAATATCTGTTAATTTTATAAGCTAAAAGTCTCTATAATAGATTATGTCAATTCTGACAAATTGTATGTGTTTCCAGCAATATAAGGTATATCACTTCTCAAAACATCTTGGCCACAACCCGACACAGAGGTAGGCATGCCTAAGCCCACTGCAACGTCTGGCTTTAAGCACGCCTCACCTAATATTGGATCGTGGCCCTTGAGAAAATAAGCGAGAGCTGTCCAGAAAGTAAAACGCCTTTGTATCCCTGAACTGGCATTTTTTTTCTGGACTGCAAAGGCAATTATACAAAAGCAAAAAGTTGATTCTACATCTTATGCCAGTTCAAAGCAAGGGCACTTGCTGAAAAAAGGAAGTTTGGACCCCAAATGTCCTGTATCTTATGTACAAAAAAAGAAAAAAAGAAAAAAAGAAAAATAGCAAAAAAATGCAAGTGATTTTTTTTCTATCAGACAGCGGAGCACCCCTTTGCTTCCCATGCAACTTGAAGAAGGTTTGCTATATTATACATATATATACGTTCTGGTTGGCAATCTAGCTAATCAGAGAAAGTCTCTGCATGTTCTAGTGTTAGTAACTAATTTTTATATAGTTAATGTAGGGTAAAGTAGAGTGCATTAAGACACAATATTGTAATCCCTAATCCAGGCACTTGCCTTTAAACTATGTTTGTTCGGCCCTTCAGAAGGGTTTCTACTACTGTCCTATACAATCAAGTAAACTGAATTTCTTGGGAAGACACTTTGCTCCTCATCTTTTCCCTAAAACTAATTTTTTTTGTTTTGTTTTCTTGATTTGCACGAAACAAAAAAAAATTCCATATCAATGTGCCTTGCCCTGGATAGCGATTATTTGTGGAATTGTTGCACATGTTCCTATATTGAAAGGGGTTTTTTTCCCTCGTCAAGCATTTGGAGACACTTTTTTGTAAATGTGACTTTTATGTCAGCCATTGTCAGTTTCAGCATCTTAGAATTAAGTAGAATGTTAGTGGTTCCACAGAGAGGGGTAGTGTTTTCTTGTCCTGTATGGTCAGTGGCAGTGCTATTCTAAGATCTGTAGATGCTAGATTATCAGTATTTTTGATGTTGCTGCATTTTACATTTTATTTGGCGTCTTCCTTTTGTTTTTTTTGTTTTTTGTTTTTTTCCCAGATATATGAAAATATGCAATACCTGCTTATATCATGTAGAAGAAAAGCTTAGCAATTCTTAATTTTTCTTTAACTTTTTTTTTATTTGACCAAAGTCAGTGCTGCACTTGACGCAGTGTGTTTTAGGTGTTTGTCTTTGTACTTTTTTTTTTTTTTTGGTGATTTTTGAATGCACACGCAGGAAGGGCTCTTCTTAGAGAAGCAGTCAAACTGTGAAGCACTAAGCTGAACCCTGCTTCAAGCAATTTTTGTTTTACAACTGTTCCTTTCACAAGCAAGCCTTAAAAAAACCTCCCTTTTTCTTCAGATCCCACACCCATTTTTATTAGCAGATTGCAATCAAGCCACATTCAATAAAAAGTATATAATGCCCATTTTTATATGCACGTTTTTAAACTTCCAAGTTCTGAAAATTGTTTACTGGTTATTCTCTATTTAAGGAAAATGTTTTGGATTTTCATATATGTCAAATAAGTGGTTGAGTAGTCATTTGCTCTGTTGTATTGTGTGATTGTTAGTATTATGGTATCACATCCACTAGCCAGCATCCTTTGCCTTCCCTATAGCACTTAGCAGGGCATTACCTTATTAAGACATATGTGCACTAAAAAATAAAAAACAAAAAAATTAGCAGCTTTCAGTGCTTCACAGTGAAGGGGAAAAAAAGCCTAGACAAACATTTTGTCAGAACCTTGCTATAAGCCAAGGTATTACCAGTAAATTGGTTGTATATACAACAAAATTGCACCCTTTTTTAAAAAAATAAAATAAAGCAAACTAAGCAATAGTTTGGGCAGTTAGTTGTTTTTAGTGAGCATGTCGTAGTCATGGCCGCAAAGAGAGAGAATCAAAGCTGCCCACTCAGAAGCGATGTAATTTGTATGTTGTATAGTTTTATTGATCACACTGATTTATTCTACCCTATTTTATAATGCAGGACTTTTGTAATGTTGTTTAAATGAGGAAAATTTCTGTCAAATTAGCTTAGTGGAATTTCTGATTGTTCGTTATAAAGGCAGCATTCATAGAATTGCTTTTTTTCCTTTGGGAACTGGATTTAAGTTAAAAACTTTCCTGTTTCCTTTTTGTATGTATTTAAATACAGTTATTTTTTTCTTCTCTCAATAGTATAGCATATTCCTATGCTTGAGAAGTATAGGCTACTGAAGAACCATTGTAAATGGACATTGCAGATATGCTGTATTTTTGAAGGTGTTTTATCATATTAAGTTTGAAGATGGTAAAGTTAGGGAATTCTGATCAGAATTGCATAAAACAATTGTTTTAAAGGCTTTAAATGTTAGGTAGGCGGTCAAGGGTGTTTACCAACAGGGGTTGTAAAGTATTAAATACACTAAATTAAATTTTGGTTCTTCTTATGATCATGCAGAAACACGGCAGTTCAGATCTGTTCAGGTGTGGAGAGCAAACAGAGTTTTATTCCTCAAACTAGAGCAAAGACTGGAGATGTGAGGGGAGACAACTGCATGGGGTGTGCAGTCTACAAAAGAGAAATAATGCTGGGTCACACTTCAGAATCAGATTCGCATGTGCATTGCCCATTTCAGAATTGTTTTTTATACTTTGCTCAGACAACTTTGTTTTCTGATTCTTTCTTCTGAAATGCCAGACTCACAACACCAACTTCTGCTACCTTCTCTCCTCCTCAAAAACAGTACTCTTCGTGAATTGATCGCTCTAGTAAATTGTCATACTCTTGACCCCTTTTCAAAATAGGACTTTAGCTTGTTGTCATTCTGCACACCCCTGCAATACTGTATTTATTCATCTTATTTTGCCTATTTTTAGAAATGGTAGGCTAATGTCAGTCACGGCGATCTCTCCCACTTCTTAACGGTGAACAGAAAAGGAATAGAATGTTTTTTCTTCCTTCTCCACACTATTCAGTTAGCCCACAGGAATATGCAAAAACCCTCTACCTAGTTTTCTTTCACTATTTCTTCTTTGTTCCATATATTTTGCAGCTTTGTAGTAACAGTGTTAAAATTTACTGTACACAAACATTAAAACACAAGACAACCCAGACACATGGCATAAAACAGGTTTTTCCCTTGTATTTTTTAAAGAATGTCACTTCATCTTATACTTTGCATTGTGTCTCTGGAAATATCTTTTTTTTCCATGATTTTACTTTGGTAGAAGGCCTCCATAGAACAAACAGTGCAAGCCACAACCAGCATGAAAATGTAAGGAGAGCTTCAATGGCACCTAAAGGAAACTCATCTCTCATGAGTTCTACTGGGGGAGATCTCATGAACTGAACTCTGCCTACCAGGCAAGGTTTCCATCAAATTAAGCTTACAAAGCTAATTTTGTCTTGAAGTCAATGCATGTATTACTGTTTGACAGTAAAACCCGGATATGCCACCATCAAGTCCAAGGCTGTGCAATAGTCTAATTAGTATCGAGTACATTTCCCTTTTATTTTTTCCAATAAAAAAGCAGTGGGATGAAAATTGCTTTGATATATAGCAGGTAACATTGAAGCTATTCCATAGCACTTAACTGTAGTGAATCCTGTGTCACCAATTCTGAAATCAATTTAATGTTTAATGCAAATCCATTACATGGTGCTATTACAGGCTGGCGAAATGATTTACAAAAATGTGACAACTTGGGCTCAATTCACTCTGCTTTCCAACAATGTAAATGCATAGCAGTGTTTATCTGCATGAGAACTATGCACTAATATAAATCTGAAAAAAAGAAATATATCAACTTTGGTATCTAGTTTCCGTTTACTTCAATCCTTGCCTTTTTGGTCATTATTATAAATGCCAGCTTTAGGACAGAAAGAAATATAAGAAAACCAGCATAATACCTGATATATTAAAAATGTAGTGCCTGTGAAATCTGTATTATATTGCTCTTCTGAAGTAAGATTTTTCTACACCAGTAGCCTTCGCTGTCTGTCAGAACCTTCTGATATAGGTGATGTAAAATAACCGTACAATATTAATGCATGCTATTCCATAATGCTTAGTGAGCTGTATGAATATTACTCAGAGTTATGTTAGTCTTTTTTTCTGACTTGGTTCTTGTCAGATAGGTTTAAAGATATTTCACTGAGAACACACTTTCTGTTTTTTTCTTTATTTGGGGTGTTTTCAGTATTTTGGAGATATACAATTAACTTAAAATTCAGTATTATTTGTGGGGGGGGGCATTCTTTATTCTTGAGGGCAGGCATGGGGTTTGAAATCAGAAATCCATGCCTGATGGTATTTTTTTTATTTTTTTTATTTTGTTCTGCTTAAAGCATCCATAAGAACTCTTAAGAGCTTATCTCAGAAGAAAAAAAATCAGACAAAGTTTCTGTGTAAAGGACAATTCTCAAACTTGAAACTGACATTGAAAGTGGTTTCTTAATGGACAGTGTTTCAACCAGGTACCCATGCTTGGCCCTTCTTCACACCAGACCTCTTCATATTAAAACAAACTTTTGAGAACCTTTACGAACCTGGCCTCTTATGGCTATTTCGTTTCGTGCACCATTGCATTTTTTTTTCAAGACTCTGTATAAACTTTGGGCCCGATTCATGAATGGTCACTAGGCATTAACATAGGATTTTGGTTTCTGTTTTTTACCCAAATTAGAAAACTAACCTTTCAAGTCCTTCAACATACTTTTCGCAAGAATTCATGACCATCACAGCACTACACGGAAGAGGATTATGACTGCATTGCATTGTAGTGCAGGGAGGCAGGGTAAGCCTTGGCCCCAAGCATAGCACTCATAATTGGAGAGGAACAAGGGGAAAGACCCAGATGATGCTAACTGGACGAGAACATGCTTAACTTCATGCTACTGAAATAAGAGGCATTTAAATGTTGAGCAAATATTATCTTGGTCACAGCCAAATCAACTACTTTGTACATAGGTTTTGCACTTAATACTTTTTCATAGTGCAAGCCAGTGTGCAATCCACATTTTCACTAGATAATCCATCTACTCAATCGTTTGTGCCTCAAATCAGTTCATTTTTTTTCAAAGGGAAGGGTAGAAATCTAGAAGAGAATAGCCCTGTTCTAGACAATTGGGGTACAAGAGGCATTCTATCTTAATGTGGTGTGGGAGAGCACAACTATGAATAGAGCAATGTGGCTGAGTGGACGGTCCCTCACCTGTACCTTCACTTTTGTTGCTGCTGTAAGAAGGCAGGAAACTGTGGTGTTGCAGTTATTTTGCAGGCTTGCAAAATATGTTTGTGGGAACATTCTGCAATAGGAATACCCACAATGAACCTGCTGTTAGCTTCTTTGCACAATTAGGCATTCACCAGCTCACTTGCTCCATTCTAACAGATACCTTGGTTTCACTTTTCAGTTTGGTGTAACAAAGCACTTGCAGAAAAATTGCTTAACTTCTGTGTTAATACCTTTTTTATGAATCGGGTCCCTTGTACCTCTAGTATCCTTGTACTGACTCTCACGATTATCATTATAGTTTTACTGTGTTCTGTGAAAATTTGCAATTGGTTGAGAATCACTGTGGGCATCCATTCTTTTTCAACTAAATCTCTACAGGTTTTTTTGAGCTGGTGTGGATTAGTTTAACTCTTGTATTCAACCATTAGTGCTACCACCCTCTCACATTACAATACGATTACTGGAAGCAAGTACTGCATTTCCTATGCAACAAAAAAGGAAAATAAAAAATTGCTAATGCTAACAGGTTTCGGTTTTCTTTAGTCTACGATGTGTATGCAAAGACCTCTGCGTATTTATAGAACTATAGACAACTGAGCCTTGGACAGCATGATTCCCAAAACTTGCTGTAGCAGGAGCACAGTGCCTTCCCCACCCTAGTGCCTTCTGATGTTTTGGACTACGTCTCCCTCCATTCCTGAACACTGGCCATGCTATCTGTAGCAGATGGAAGTCCAAAACTTTTGAAGTGCATCAGGTTGGGCAAGACTGGCTTAAGATATTATGGTATCGCAGGACACAGTCATTGGGCATGGTAGGGTAATTCTCTGCTTTCACAAGCAGGTGCAATGATACATTTTTTTCAGGGTAAGTTTCCAATGGAGCATTTGCGGCTCTTCTTCTCTGTATTTTCAATCTAGTTGTCTAATCCAGGCCCAGGGATCGCACCAATATCATTAAGAGTCATAGATCAGCTAAACTGAATGTAGTACTAACATTGCATATTTAAACCATAAATGCACCCTCATGCTGTGAGTTGGAATAGGTCAGTTTGCATGACGTAACAGCCAACAGGCTGACAGGGACACAACAGCCCGTGATCAGCTCCTTCATATGTTGCTGAATGGATTGTCTGAACTCAGACCACTTCTGCATTTAGATGCTAACCAACCCAGCAACTGGTTAACCCAGTATCAAATCTTTGATTAACCCTTGGGTTGTTTCACCCTTAAACAATCCATAACCAGGTCCAGGTTATGCACCCTATAAAGGAACCAATCAAAAAGTGCTAAATAAAAACAGAAGTGGTGTGAGTCCTGCAGGCAATGTTTCTGACCTCTTCCACTGATCCTCGACAGCTCATGGGTTGTTTGTGTTGTAGAACCAGTAAAACTAGAATCCTGCTTTTTTCAGCTAGCAGACAAATGTCAAATACCACTGAGAGTGGGACACATTGTCATCTCACCAGCCCATCTTTAATGGCACAGCTTTTCTACTTCTGACAGCCCAAAGCTGAATACAGAGGCTCCCGTTAAGCATCACATTTCCAGATGAACATGTTTTTAATCAGAGGAAATCATGAGAGAGAGAGTTTTCTGCAACATTTTACTGGACTTTGTTTTCCTGACTAAAATAGATTGCTCTCTACAATGCAATTTAAGAATTACAGGCCTCAGTCTAGCAAGCATTTACAGGAGTTGCACATGTACAACAGAGCTTTTGTTTAACTTTGTCTTAACAGTGGTTCTCCTGCTTTGCATGGCAGGTAAATGTGCTTTTTAATCTGTAAGGAGAATTGAAAGCCTTTGTGATGTGCTGTAGAACATAAAAACATAAATGTCAGTCCTGCTGGATCAAACCGAAGGCTTAGCAAGTGCAACACCACAACTGCATAACTCTGGGAACCCTCGAGCAGGAAATGAAAGCGGCAGCATTCACATCTCTGAATCTGGAGATGCCTTTCTTCTCAAAATGGAAAAGGAAGGACTTTACTTTTGATAAAGCAAAGCAAAGTCACAAATTCTTCTGGATGGGTTCTACTCCTAATGAAAGGAATGTGAGAACTCCAGTTCAGACAGCCACATGCCAGTGTGCACAAGGGTATACTGGGTGGGGCCTGCATACACCACCTAGTGCATGACTTACTTCTTTATCCTACTTTGAATAGCTGAGGGAAATGGACTGACATTCTTTTCCCATCCTGCAATCATATATGTTTCGTCACATCAGTATTAATTGGATGGGACACACTTACCCGATAAAGGCAATGACATCTTCCTAGGAGAGCTGAAGCAGACTTTGCAGAAGTATCTTAAACATAGTCTTGTCCTTAGGTACATAGGAGATTTCCTTGTACTGAGGCAGCTCATTGGTCCATCTAGCCCAGTACTGGCAGTGCTGCTGTCCAGGGTTTCAGGTAGGAGTTTTTATAGCCCTAACTGAAGATGTCAGTTCTTGTATTAATTTGCAACATTTGCAGCAGCAGTAGCAGCAACAATGGCTGGCCAGCCAAGGAAGGCTTCCTAAATAAAGATGCTTGCAGGCGGTGCCAGAAAAAACAAATTGTTGGTGCCTACCTGATTTCCAGACGCAGGCAGTTCCACAGAAATGGAGCCACTGCCCTGAAGTCCCTTCTCCTGGTGTGCGCCACGTGGGCCACAGGTCCATGCAGGACCATCAAGGCATGTCACCAGATTACCAGGCAGCTTGATAAGGGAGACAGCACTCTTTGAACATGTGAGCTTCAGCAGGCACACCATGTGCTCCACCATGCCTGCACAGCCCTCATTGTTGCAAAGCACTGCAGAAGGACATAGGGGTACGACAGAATTGGTGCACATCCAGAGAGATCAAAGAGGGAAAATGGAATTTCTGAAGCTTAATTAGTTACTTTTTTTTTTAAATCAAAACTGCCTTTCATTCTTATAGGTACCATGGTGGTATACTCATACCAAAATAAAATGCTGTCAATCACACAGTACAATATCATTCTTACCCAAATAAATATCAAAACAGTGCCGAAGCTAACAGACCAATACTTAAATGCCTGACCAAATAAGATTTTAACTAGGCACAAAAAGATGGCAGCATGTTTGCCAATCTTTTGGGAGGGCATTCCATAAGCAGGGTACCACCACAGGAAAGAATCTCCTTTGTTATAATACAGTGTACTTCTAGCAAGTGTATTCCAAGAACCTCAGCTGCAGATAAAGCATATGCAGGTTGGCATGGGTTAATGGCATCCTTCAGTATTTAGGTCTCCTGCCATCCCTGACTTTGGAGACTCCAAGTATGAATGACACATTGGGATGGCTTAGGACCAAATGATTAAAATTGGCATCATTTTCTCAAGGTCCAAGGGGAACTGTAACTCAAGAAGGCTCCCTCTACACCAGGATGTCATGGTCAAGGAATGGAGGCAGGCAGTTCCATGTTTCTGGATTCAAGGCCAGGTCTGGTTCTTTCTCATTTTGTAAGAAAGGCAGCATTAGCTCCTACCTTATCCAAAGAGACAAGGTTTGAGCCATTGCAGATCTCCCAGGGCCCTAGGTAACTACTAAGCATTTTGCCTTTATATTTCTGGTTGCAAACATTATTTCTAAAAATAGGACTTTATAGTTTAAAATGCCACATTTCAATTTTATTCTAAGAAGTAATACTTACTCAGGTCCAGAGGTGTGCAGGAAAGTTGAAATGTGAATGCATCACCATTCATCCTCATGGACAGAATGTATCTGTGTGGGCAAAGCAGTGTATTCACAAATCTATCTCCATGGTAAGGAATGGTAAAATTATTGTGCCTGGGATCATTTTTACATACACTTTGGGGTTTCTGTACCAATATGGGTTCACTGTACTGGGTCATTCTTCAGTTTTTAATAAGATACATATTTCGCAGGGGTTATCTCTACCTTCTGAAAGCAGATAATTTGTGGAGACAAAGAGCAAACAGTTCTTTGCTTCTGCTGCTGCTGCTTTGCTTTTTTCATAGAGAAGAATGAAATCCCCATGGGCGGCACCTGCTGTAACAAGGGATTGCATATCCTTTCTCATTCAGTTTGCAGTAGCTCCTCTTCTACTACTTTCTGAGCTCTGCGTTTTCTCCAACTTCAGTACACACATAAAAACCCCAAATACCGATAAAATACAAATAACTGCAGTTTGCATAAATTATGTAAATCATTTTGCATATGCTATGCTGAGCAGAGAATTTGGACAATGTGGCATGGAAGGCACACAGCCATACACCCACGACAGAGCTGAGTGATAAGGCTGCTGTTAACCAGCTATTTTTAATCAGTATCTGAGCGCCTTCCAGATTCTACTGTTGGCATCATTCAGCTGGGGTAGCCTACTTTTCATTTCACTTTTTCCATGGAAGGAAATTGTCAGTCACTGGGGAGCAGAAACAAATGCCACGGAAATAAATGTTAATATTCCCAACACAGGGAATACTCAAGCTTTTAGGCACCTGAGTTCAGTGCTGAAAGCCCGGATGAAATGACACTCCACCTTGCTTTGAACACTTGCAGTTAGAAAATGCAGATGCATATAAGCTTCATTTCATTTTTATTTACAGTCAGGAACAAAACTCTCTCTCTCTCTCTCTCTCTCTCTCTCTCTCTCTCTCTC